CGGAATCTCCATGCTCTTAGGCCGCCAAACCCCTTGCGATTACTCGGTGAATATCTCATTGCCAAAAGCGCAGAACTTGGAGAACCCTCGAATGAACAGCCTCCAAGCACTTGATGGTGATTTAAAGTGAAATAAGGGTTTGGCCTTTGTCTGTAGCTTTGTAGTGCAAACTCTTTGTTGGACTTGGGAACACCTTAGGATTTCAGGCTTGGAAACTTAATAGTCTCGGCGATGTAACAAAATATTAACATCAACCCAACGAAACCAGAACACCTAGAATATGGAGCGGGTTTACGGACGCGAAACTGATTCAGCTGCAAAAGCTTCTTTCTTCTCCGGCTTCAGGTCGACCATGCAAACGACTTCAGTTGAATCTAAAACAAAATTAATTGATGTTCGGGTTCTAAACACATATAATTCCACCTCTAACAGCTTCTAAAAGTCAAGTATCCAGGTGCATTTTTGGTAGCCATGTTCTTGTGCTTGCCCAAACACTTATCTCTAGTCTGACAACCAGTAAGGCATTATTTACGGCGACCAACTGAGAGGTTAGTCCTTATCCACGTATTATCACCCACCATTGTGACATGGACAATCACCATATTAAAGGTAAGATAATAGCGTAACAGCAGCTTCTGGCCAAGGCTGCCCAACTAAGGTCAGCTTGACACAACCAGCCGCGTAGCAGCAGTACGGTGCTTCACTGCTGGCAGCACTCCTTTTATTCCAAATCTCAAAAGGTGAGTTTAGACCAGGCTCATGTTCAAACCAAAGGGCAAAGGAAGGAATCAAGTGAGAATTGATCGTCCTAGAAGGAGGAGCAAGTTTGTCCAGCGCTTGCCGGGTGCAAGAGGTAGGGTGTACCCAATGCCGTTTGATGCTGTCTCTGTTATCTGTTTGGCGACAAGCATATGGAAATCTAACAGAAATGTTTCCGTTTAGGGGTGACAGACACCATATTACGAACGTCGCTAAGCGAATGACAGTCCAAAGGTAAAGGGCTGAAGTGGAAATTGTCTTTGTCGGGACCTTGATATTGCAAGTAGCTCTGGCATCTGGATATCGCAAGAGCATATAAAAAAGTAGATATGTACTATGAACATACCCATGCATCAGCACAATGTTTTGACTCGTATCAACTTACCTAAGACAGCTTGCGCAGTAGTTTGAAAAATTCGCCTGCAACGTGCCAACAAGGTCACTGGCAATGGTGTTGACGTTTGATGATTTGAGCCTGTCGTTGTAGCCGGCTAGAATTTACAGTCTTTCTGTTCAGGTCTTATTTTAGAGATACCGTTATCCAGAAAATGGCCCGACACTACAACACGACGATGTCGGAGTTCATGAATGCGCGAGGACCGGGTTTCAAACAATCAGGCGCTAAATTTGTGTACTTGGAAACATTGACGCTGCTTTCACTTTGGTCGAGCAAGATGGAGTCGATATCTGAATCTCAAACGAAAGAGTCGAAAAGCTGACAAAATCTGACTAGCGATAAGGACCATAGCTGATAATAATAATACGGCCACAAGACAAGTCGAAGATAATACAAGTGAATCCTTGCTGCCGCCGCCAGTGTTTCGAGTTTTGAAGAAATGCAGCTAGCTGCCAACTACACCAAAATGTCGTTTGATGTAGCTGTCAACCATTCGCTGGGAGGTTCCCGAATCCGTCGACAAAATCTTCGACTATGTGCGCGCGAGAGTTACTTTTGCGAGACAAGAACATTGAAGCGCTGCGCCGTAACCGTATAGCGAACTGACCCCAAACGAGGATGTAGACATAAAACCCATTTCAGGAATACAAGGGGGAAGGGAAAAAGGGGATCAACGATATTAAAGAGATGGATAAGAGGAAAGGACAAAACGAGACCAATGGAATAAGGCACGGATCACCACGAGGAGCACTTGTAGTGAAGCCTATATTGCCAGTGTGAAATCCTTTTTGAGTTCACGAAACTTACCTACTGGGCCCCGGGTCTATTAACGGTTATCATAAGAACGACCTCCATATGGCTCATGTGACTCACGTTGGGGGGGGCCACCAGCGTAAGCTGAGGTAGTTTGAGCACGAGCGTCGTCACGATCATAATAACCCCCACGGCGACGATCCTCTCCTCTAGGAGGATATCGTTCTTCGCGTCCTGAAGTCGCGTACCGGTCTACCCCACGGTATCCATAGTCATCGCGGTATTCACGACGGCCATATTCGCGGCTGCGATCATTATAGGAATCGTAGCGGCCATGCCGGTAGCCATCATCGCTGGCGACGACCACCGTAGCCGTACCCGCCTCGTCT